CAACATATACACAGTCCAAATGGCCACAAACAACAATGACAAAGAGGGGTTGACACTGCAACAGCAACGGAAATCGCAAATACAGCTGTCAAATACTGACAGCAACATATAGCCTCCCCTTCAGTAAGCCAAACAACTGCTTCTGACATTCAGTTTATCAAGGGACATGCATATCCCCATTCCCCCTAACAAAAACACAATAATATAGACTGCAAAACAGGGGGTCTTTTTCTCAAAGGTGAATTTCAGCAGTTCTCAGAATTCAATAGTATGCATGCCTGGAGTAATAATGTTGCCCTTCTTCTAAGAAAGGACTGTGCTTTGGAAATTTAGGCCAAATTAGTCTGTTAAGAGGTATGATTGAAAAGAATCATACATGTGGAGTTTTGTCATTTTTTTTGTACATGTTCACAATCATGTTTAGCCAACAATAGTATTGATATTGTGTCCACAATATGTTAAAAGACCATTTACAGTAACAACCATTTGCAATGAAGACCAGTAGTTTTTGAGATAAAAATATACCGGTAATTATTTATCAGCTTTATAAGTTAGCACAAACTTTCCCACTCTGTGTATGGTTAAGGTGATTCCATAGTAAAAGAACCTAACATAGATTTTAGCTAAAACTTGGTACACTGATGTAACAAGTCAAGAAGATGACAAAAAAGTAATAAAAAGTGGGGGTCACCGTGCTCGTTTTGACGTCACAATGCTGACAAATACGGCTATTTAGGACCCTTTTACAAAAACCGCGGGCAGCGCAAAACTAGACAAAAAGGAGAGATTTTTTCGATGATGCATGTGACATCACACAGAATTTGACTTTAATGTATTGTTTATCCACTTACGTACCAGAAAAATGCCTTTTAATGTCCTTGTTTTTACTTTACGCTCCAAAGTAGAATTAAATTGGACGCGCGCTTTTCGACCCGTGATGGCTCAATCCGTACAATTTAGTAAAATTGCCAAAAAACTGAACATAGAATTGTGCCAATTTTTTTCTCATCGAAAGGAAGCACTGTCCTTATTAAAATCATGAAATAAAAAATGGGGGTCACCGTACTCGTTTTTGCGGTAGAGCTGCAGAAAGTGCGCACCAGACGCATTTTCTCCGATTTTTGAGAGAGGACTGGGGCGAGTTTCAAAATAGAATGTATGTGAAAGGGGGAAGAAAGTATTAAAAAATCCGTTTTTACAGAATTTACATCGAGATTTAGGACACAATGTGATAAAGAAAGTGTTTAAATGAAAATCAAAGTGAGTAAGCACAAGTTAAACATCCACTATCGAGGTTCTCCGAGAGGAGGTCGAACTCAGCAACACGCGTACTGCTTACGTTATGCACATTCCCAACACATTGAGTCTCACCTCGGCAAGAAACAACAGCAAGCAAAAATTCCAATAGCGTTTCTCTTCAGTCAACTTCATTTTAATAATATTACTTCACACGCTCTTTTTTACGGCGGCCATCTTGTTATGCGCAGTAAGAGATGCGCAGTGCAAAACTAGGGAATCACCTTAATGAGGGAAATAACCCATATGGAAAGCACACCATTTCATTTGTTGGTCACAAACACAATGCTCCATGTACTACATGCTTCACTGGTAACATAAAATGGACCAGCGTCATACTAATTACTACCCACAGACAAATACCTGCAACTATTCTTGAGCTCGTTTCTTTTAAATTTATTGAATTACTTTTTTGGAGGGGGCGGGGATGGGGCTCATAATCCCTCTAAACAGGATGCAATCATTCCTTTTCAAGCCTTGGTCGAAACAACCAAAAAGCTACCACCACCCCTCCCCTACAATCAAGGATTCCCCACTTTCACACTGCCCACAGTAATAGTACACCTTGTTTGGCCCCAAAAATTCTTCATAAGTTTCTCTTTAGTCATCCCAAGAAAAAATGTAAAAAAAAAAAAAAAATAGAATACTTATGCAGAATTGGGGGGTTGCATGAAATATTATGGGCAGTGATTATGTGGATGTGGAAAATTAAAAAGTAGCATTTTCTGGTCTTTGAGCACCATGCTGCATTATTGATCTGTACGTCATACTTATAATTGGAAGGACAATGTATGGTGTGTTGTTCTGGCCTTGCATGGCTTCATCTAGGATTTCTGGCAGAAGGGGACTTTTCTCCTGATCCCTTTCAATCATGAGGGCATTATTATAAAATATTACTCATTGGCCTAATACCTTTGGTTGGAAAAAGGTACCCATGAGGGATTACATCTTTACAGAGAATAGTTTTAAGTTTATTTCATGTTGTTTCTTAATCATCAAAAGTACAAGGTTTCAGTTACAACATTTCAATCTTGAGCATCTTGAGATTACTCTAACTAAATTAATGTTCATTAGAACAACTACAACATAAAAACTACCTGGCATGTTTGCTGCAAACCCTCATACAAGGTTGAAAAATGTTTGTCGATATGCAACTTAATTCAACCTGCAAGAGCCAAGATAACCAATTATAACTGCCACATTGTGATCAATGCTGTGCACCATTCACAAAGAAAATTCTTTCAAGGCATACGCAATGGTGGACAGTGCTTAACAGGTTTGAACCAATTGTGCAAAATCCTCAAGATGATTGTCAAAAATAATGCAAGGAGATTAAACATGTAAGAAAAAACAAAATTGTTGCAGGGTGCAAAGAAAGTCAGTTTTACAGCCTACCATTCCAGCAAGCTGTAGCTAGCATGTACTAACCCACAAGTCATTTCAACTAGACCCAAAACCCTTTTTGATTAGCAAAATGGATTACAATCCACTTGCCCATCGGGCAAGTTAACAACAAAAATCCACGAGCCTCGGGCTATCTTTGCGTGCTGTTTTGCTCAATTATAATAATGAACAAAAAACCTTAGAGGATGAGTCTTGCCACAAGACTAACTTTACTTTGACTGAATAACATAATTCATCAAAGCTACTAGCAATATTTGCCTTTTAGCTACAGTAGATTTACAGTCTCTAAAATTAATGCAGTATTTTGGCCAGGAAATCGAAGGGCAAAAGAATTTTAAGAAAATTTAACCTAAACTGCAAACAGTTAATTATATTGTGCAGCCTCTTGAGAGTTTTTAAACTGAAAGAATTGTTTTGCCCTGTTCTCTGTTTTCAGTTAGTGGCAGTATTCACATTTGGTGCCCAGGTGCTCAGTGGACACTAAAATCTTTGAAAACACACCCTAAATTTTCCAGTACATGACAGAATTTGGGCTTGGTGCTGATGGCCTTGTAGAAGATCAAGGCCTTGAACTTGTCCACTTTCATGGGCACCAGGTCCTTGTGTGCACACACTTTCAAGTTAGTTCCGAGGCAATGCAATGATTTGTATACCCATAACTAAGTACGAAGCAGGACACGACTGTTCCTCAGAACTACTCTTGTAAAAAACTCAGGGTAAAATTGAGCAAAATAATACATTTTTGAACACACTAACATGTTTGAAGCGCTAGGTCTGCCAAATAAAATTCTACCAATTGTTAGAATTCTGGTGAATGGATACAAAATAATATTGAGAGTCTTTTGTTAATTTTCCCAGGGGAAGACATGACGTACTTCATATATGTAGTATGAAGTGACCCTAGATTTTCAAAATATGATTCCCACATTTTTGGATAGGTCAAAATAACTTTAGGACAAGAGACACTTTGTAAACCATGTTATAAATCTTTTGGTACTTAAGACAGCAGTATTTCCATGCACCACATAATAGAGTTCCTCGCATTTACCTTCTTCAACTCAATAATCAAAATGCAACTTTGTTATAGTGTCAACAATGCGCTTAAGCAAACCTAGCTATTCCTGAATTAAGTTTTCAATAATAAAATTAATTATTGTCTGGGCATGGAGCATAGTCCAAAAGATAAATGAAAAAAACCAGCCCAAGCATAGTAAAGAAGCTCGGTGAAACAGCAAACCTTGTCAAGACAAAACAAAAGATAACACCGCAGTGTGCAAAGAAAGTCGTGTCCGATAGCCCGGGGCTAACGGATTTTACTATCAGGTTTGTGAATTCTGTTCTTAACTTGCCCGCCTGCCAAGTTCAATCTTTAAGCAATTCTAATCACAAAAGAACTGTTATTAAACCCGCTCATCATTGGGCTATTTAACATCAAAACTTGACTTTTGGGCTAGTACATGCTAACTACAGCTTGTCCGAATGGCAAGCTGTAAAACTGACTTTCTTTGCACCTTGCATCAAGTGGAAACTTTCAGTCAATCAAGCTAAAAATAAATGCTACTGCATGGTCTTTTAAGAACATTTCACTTACTCTTTAGCCTACAGAACAATAATGATGGCTCTTCAACTCTTACATTAACAGAGAAAATAATATAAAACCTATCACTAACCAGGTTAAATATCAACTAACATGACCATCTTAAAGAAATGTAAAATATAATATAAACAATCTCAGGCAACATGCTTTTCTAAGAATGAACAGTGCTGCCACTGAGGCAACTTGCATTTTTGATAATTTTCCAGTAAATTAACCACAGTTTTTCTGTTGTTAAAAATGTCCAAGAAATATTTTAAATTATAGAGCAAATATGTTTTCCACCATGACAAATCTTTTCTCAAATATACAATCTGCAGAAGACAAAGTCTCCATTCTTCTTGTTACAAATAAAAAAATTACAAATCTTCGTAAGTATCAAATTTCTCATACATAACAAACATTAAATTTATACTCCCTTTAAAAGGGTTCAATGAAATGGACACTGGACATGCTTGCACACTGTGTCAGAAATTGACCACGGTCCTTTAGGCAGAGTTTTACTCTAAACACAAACTGTTCAAATCTAAGCCATATGAGCTGCACAAAACTACTTTTCAGCAACATCTATGAGCAACACCTCTTCTGGCAAGGGCAAACTCCAGCTTCAATCTCCAGTAGAGCAGGATACATATACAACTTGCAGACTACGTTGTTTCTAGTTGGCCACATCATCACTGGGCAAAAGAACCCAGAATCCCCTTTGTCAGCTTGCTTCTAATAATACGCTGCAAATTCCTTTCTCAGCATCATAGTTCAAAAATATCAGGAAGGTATCCTCGTCATCAAAGCCCTTTACAGCTTGGTCATCTATTTCAGAAGATGTCCTGCAAGACAATAAACAAAGAGAACAGCGCTTAAGATGGTGATCCAAAAAAGTAGGTTTCCACTGTCAAAACAAGTCAGGAATACATTAATGACCTAATGAACTTATTCAGTTACAAATTCAGAAGTGGTGAATATATGGCTGCATCACAATGGTGTTCAAAAATTCATATCTACAGAATTAACTTTCAATTCTATGTTTGCTCATCTCAGAGTTCTGGAGTATTTAACAAAAGCTTTAAAATCAAACAACTGTGTTCATTCAGTTCCACCTGCACTCAAAACCTCTACATGGACTGAAGATAGTACTGATACTTAGTATCCAAAATCTACATTATCTTCAAAAGATTTCAAAAAGTGCGAAAAAATATATATATGCTGATATCAGAATAACGTCAAATTAACTTGTAGAATGAAAGCCTAGAAGTAAATTTATTTTACCTGATTTCATTATGAAAACAACCATATATACGCACCACAACATTTTGCTGTATATAAGTGCAGGGACAAGTAACAAAACAGCACACTAGCCGGAAAAGTATGAAGCAAGACTTTTTTGTTAATAATAAATTATCATTAATCAAACCAAAATATTAGTTTTATGTTTGCCACAAGACCCCTGCACATGCATAACATACAGACAGTGGAACCTCGGTATAGTGAAACTCTATCTAATAACAAAGTTGTTGATACAGCAAAATTGTTCACCCCAGAAAGAGCAGAATGTAAGAAAAAGAACCTCGATATAACAAAACCTCACTTTATCAAGCACATTTTGTAGGTCCCTTGGTCCTTTTGTTATATCGAGGTTCCACTGTGGACTTGGGAAGATGCAATGAAACTGTCAGAATGCCCCCAGCGTAACAATGCGCCACACACAAACACTACCATTTCACACAACTCCACAACATGTCCTTGCAATAACAAATGAAATAGAGGCAAAGCCATTAGCACAACTTCTTTGAAACATTTTTCCTTTTCTTGTTATTGATTTATTGATTTATTTTTCTGGCATCTTTCAAGTCCAGAAATGTTGAAATAAAACAAGAAACTGACATTTCACAGTTATTGCAACAACATCTGATACAGAATTTAAGAAAAACAACAGCTACACACTAACACAAAGGTAAAAGCAAGGGAAACACACTGTATTTGTTTGAGCAATAGACAACCAAGCCGCCAGAGCAAGGCTCAAGGTTTGTACCTCACCCCAACGAAACAAAAATTTATTTATATTTCAATTGCAAAACATGCGATCTAACAAGAAACTCAATGAATGCGGTTGTGGCATGGTTGCATTTACTCAAATTAACCCTGCCCAAGCATGCTTAATGACAAAATAACAAATAAATACATATTTTAACAAACAAAAAAAATGATTTCATTATCTCCAGTTGAAACAAGATGTTGGTTTATTTTGTAATTCTAAAATTGTTATGCTACCCTGCAACTGCGTAGGTGTGTTAAAGTCCATCTTGACATCTGTGAGGCCCTACCAATGGTCCCACATCAGCTGCTGCAAAATTCAAACAATAAACCAACGTACAACACCTACTTATGTGAGTCATTTTCAATAAGTACCTCAAAGCATTTCAATTTTTTTCTTTCCGTGTCACTAAACAAGCTTCCCTTAGCCTACCAAGATCTTTTCTTTAGATGGAAACATTCACTCCTAAATATCAGCCTTCTTTTATTAACTTATTTTTAATGAAGGCATGCCAACGGTAAAACGATAAAACAAGAGTTTCTTTCCATTTTGTTGCAAGAGAATGCTTGAAAAATTACAGAACTCCACATGTTTCTAAGAAACAAGTAAACAGCTTAACCAAACAGTCCAGTCTCACAAGAATTGTTTTGAATTGGTTTTTAAGACAAAATAACCAAAAAGATATTATATAACAAAACATTTCAAAATGCACAAACCAAATCTAACAATATGGGTACTGTACCAAACTGGGCAGCGATAATCACGAACACTGAATATTAGCTACAAATCAAAACAACATCAACATTATAAACTAAGATAAAATAAAAACAAAAAATGTAAATATTAATCGTAAAGGTAATTTATCATCCAAAATTTCACAGAACCCTTAAACATGTCTACAGATTTCACATTCTATCTCACAGTCTCTTTTCCTCAGTGACAAAAGTACTGTAGGCTGTCACAGGGTCATATGATCTTGCCATTATACCCATTATTGTTACAATGGCCTAAAAATAAATTACCTCTACTCTTAAAAATAGTTACACACTATTGAATTACCCATAGCAAGCTCTTAGCAAGAAAAACAACAAAAGACCACATTTAGTATATCAAAAATCCAATCTGAATTTGAGGTCTGGGTAATAATATTTTTCCACAATTATTTCAGATTTCCTGGTCTATAAGTTGTCATAAAACTTGACTTAAAAGTCTTGGAATGCACAGAAAAAAAGAGCAGCCCTCAAATACGTATAATAACATAATAATTAACACCATGGAGTTTTGATGTAAAAATGTGGGCTTCTGTGATCTTTCTATTTCTGCAGCCACTCCATACAGTCTGCATTAGTATAAACAAAAACAGAGAACGTTTGCAACTCCCCAGCTCACACTCATACTGCTCTTACTCATGACATAGACACAAAGTTACCAATCGAGTGAAATAATTGGAAATTATCGAGTCACCTCCCCAACTCAACAATAATAATATTGTGAGATAGAAAACCAGAATCATTCTGGTTTTCTATCTCACAATATTAGCTTTTGCTATCAAGACAAAGTGGCTCAAGCATTTACAGTAGGGACTCGTTACTACCAATTTGCAGCACTTTGGAAAAATCCTGCAAAAAATACTATGACGTTTTCAAATCAAAGAGAGCAACAGTTTTATGAGCCTATGTCATGAATAAGGCTACCATCACACTTAAAAATTAAGGTGAAACAGAACACACACTTCAACCATTCCAACACGGCAGTCAACAACACAACAATGACATAGCACAATGATGCTCTTGCAGAAAGAAAGAAGTAAAAAACACTAATGGTACGATGTAAAGAGCAGGAAGTATCAGTAGAAGCAAACCAGACAGAACTATTTTTGCATTTCCTTACTTAAAACTACATAACAAGGATTAGTATTGTCAATGGTATCTTGTTTGACAACGAAAGTGAAACTCAAAAGAAAGCTGTGCACAGACAAGTGAACAAACTTCAGTCTAGTGACCATGATACATACTTAATACTGTTTTCATTGGCAAGGAAATGGCTCAACCAAATAACAGAATCAAGTTGAAAATTAAGGAGTTTACAACCAGGTTGAATCTTGTGGTCCTTACAACAGGTCTACACAACCAAGTCTCTAATACATTAAACTGGTTAATAAACATATGAGATAAACAATCAAATATATTTGTTGAGCTCTTGGAATATTGTGGTAGTATTGAACAGACAGCACTTCTGAAAACCTTTGTGCAGCACTGCAATCATAAGACATAACTGTAGTTTGTCAGTCTAGCTTGTGACTCTTTTATTGGTCTTGTGTTTGAGAAGAAAAAAAGAACAAAAAATTGCCTAAAAGTTCTTATAGCAATGTTTTTTTTAAAATTCCTTAAAAAAGCCAACCTTTTAGCCAAAGACCTAAAGAACAATAAATTTAGTATCAATTAAAGGTCATGGTTTGTAATATTTTTGCATAAGTCTTAGTTGGTGGAAATGCTTCACTCACCCTTGTTCAAGTCAACAAATCATGCAGAGTACATACTATCTGTGTTTGATCTGTTAAAACTAAAAGCTTTACTTTCATGGTTAATGGTGCATTCAAATATATCACAGCATCCAACTTGCTCACAAGCTGCTTTTGTACATTCATGACATTGTGGTCATTTTTCTTCAAGCGCAGATCATTATTGGCTGTGACAAACTGCATTATTTTTCTTCAAAACAATATGAGCCTATGGCAGGGGCAAAGTTCAGAGAATTTTAATTCTGTAAACACAAAAGATGAATTAATATCTAAATATCCTATTGCACTAACTGTGAAATATTGAATTTATTAAAAAAAAAAGAATTAATGATAACGGGCACAGTTTTAAGCCCACACAACTTGATTGGAACTGGTTCTAGTTTCCTTTTGCTTTAGGATTAGTCGTGGTCAGTATGAGATTAATAATCATGCATGAAATCATGCAACTGTTTTATGTGTGGTTTACTGTCAGCTCAAAGCCAAGTTTCTTAAGCAGATGAGGGGAATCTTTGCCTTATCTTTGGAGATTACGTATAATTTTTATGTGACTAGGAAGATTTTTTTGCCCTTGATTCTTTTTAGTTAATAATAAAGAAAGATGCTTTTAAGTTGGTAAGATGTGATGGTTATGTTACAAGACATTGACTGAATTTTAAGGATACCCCATACCTCGGAGAAGTCAAGAATGAAAAATAATGTGTTGAAATTTCTAAAATTCAGGCAGAGGAAATCTAGATTATTTCTATTTGATGGTGTCACATGATAAATCATGTTTTATGTTCAATTCTGCATGTACATTACTAAATTACCATGGAGATCCACATCTGCAGTTCAAAAGTTATTAAAAGCTACAATACTAAATGTATAGAATTATTATTAGAAATATGTAGAGAATATTGGGCAATGGCTACGTGATTAGCATATGAACTTTGGCTTCACAACAAAAGCTATCAAAGAGTTCAGAAGAGAATATAATATTTTAATACGTACGGGACTTGCACGAAAACAAAAATAATAAGTTGTACGAATGAAAATAACGACAAAACAACACTGCAAAAATCTATAAAATGTAAAAGCCAATGAAAAAGTAAGTCTAGTGCGATAGCTTGTATGATTATGGTTGTATAGCTCAAACCAGTTACGAACTGGTAAATCAAGAGAGCACGTGGCAGATCGTACAAACCACAACGTGACCAAGTTCCTCCAAATAAAATATCATTTCCTAAACATGGCAAAATGCACGTATAGCCTACAGAAGCCTCCTACTTTTGTGTTCAAAAAGAAAATAATCAAAAACTATTTCCGAAACGAAACCAAGGAAAATAAAATAATCAGAAAAGTTATAATATCGCGCGTGATGCAAGTGTACTATCATATTAAGGAAATGTCAAGCTGCAGCTGTAATTCATAAGATTTTGCTTTTGGTCCAGACAAAGCTGAACTTCTAAACGATTACAAAATTGGACTAGCTATATTATGAAGATTCTGAAGCAAGCGGAACAAGTGACCATTGACAACAAACATTACTCATGCTTGTGCGGTACGAAAGTGCAGTGAGAAAGAACAACAGTTCATCCATCCGCTCCTTTTTGAAAGACTTCCTGCTTTCCACATTTCAACCCAACATATAGTTTTCTTTGACATCTAAAGGCACAAAATACAGTTTACTTGACTTACCCTTCTTTGCCACGAAGCGCAAAACTCGTGATTGAATCTGTCGGTGTATTGTACTTCTCCGACACGGCAAGTTTCAAACTTTCAACGGTTACCTCTTCCAGCATTATTGCATTGTATGCTTTTTCCTTCTCTCGCCGTACATATATCGTTAACGCAGGCGGTGGTCGCCTCGCCACACGTTTTGTCCTCGGAGCTAACTCGAGATCGTCAAAAGCGTCCGTGGCTTTTAGAAACGCTTCGTTTGCAGTTCTCTTTTTGGCTTTCTCACGCCAATGCCTAAGCAGTGGTGTAGAGTACTTTTCAAGATCAAAATGGGTAGGAACTCCCGCCTGCATAATCTTGACAACCATATCCATACACTGAGGACTCCTAACAGTCCAATTCTCGCCCCTCGTATCGGTTTTTCAACTCACAAAGCACGACAAAATGAATGCAACGCCGCCGACACTACAGTGCCGTCTAAATAAATACGGAAGAAACTAGTCGATATATCCGCAAACGCCACTAGTACAACGAAATTTTCAATATTTCCCTTTAACTCACTTAAACTGTTCAAACGAAAGTGAAGATTTGACGGTGTTGGACTTCCGAAATGTGTATTTGAATCACATCTTGCGACAGAAAAACCAGTTACAACAACACACTTCCATCGAGTCCGCCTTGATAGTGATAGTCGAGATGCCATCCAGTGTTGACGGGAACATACGCCCCACTGGTAGGGACAAGGGTAAATTATTTTTATGTTTAGTAAGCAGCCATTAACCACCAAATAAAATACTGCTTGGTTGTTAAAGTAAATAATGATGACTACAATCGTTTCTGTAAATGTAAAGTTATGCTTAAAGACAAAATAGGGCCTTTTCTCAGCACAGATAAATCATGATGTTCTACCCACCCCAGTGATAATTTTTGGTCTTGGATTCCGCAATTAGCATGTACGTCATGTTCCTCTATATCCAGGTTCTCACGGCAATGCGTTTCAACCAATCACGAACGAAGACGTTCATGTGATTTCACGTGCAGTAGTTTTACTAAGAGAAAACAACAGCATTTTCAAGTTTCTCCGGCTGTCCGGTCCATCTTCAAAGAAAAACTTGTTTTGTCGCCCTTGTTTCCTTACAACACTACAGGAATATAAATCTTATGAATTGTGTGATTCATCATGCCGTAAACGAAAAGTAAAGATCTTTTGTTTTCTTTTTACGGTTTTATGATAATGCATTCCTTGGCAAAATGTCAAGTGGCGAACGATATGGTGGCGAACACGTAACCTGTTTGAGGTAGAGGTCGCCGGCACGTGCAAAATTAAATTATCTGCGTAACGCAGGCTTAGGAGTGTCTTAACTTCTTGCTAATGATGCAAGAAAAACAGGTTATAATCTACGGTGGGTCGCAGGGACAAAACACATCCCAAAAACGAAAAACACATCCCAAAATCCAAAAGCACTTCCCAGAATCTAAAACACTTCCCAAAATCTAATACTTCCCAGAATCCAAAGGTGTTTTGGATTCTGGGAAGTGTTTAGGATTTTAAGAAGTGTTTTTAGATTCTGGGAAGTGTTTTGTCCCTAGGAGCCACGGTAATAATCGACCATCAATTTTCTTTTTACATTCAAGAATTCGAAGCCTTTATTGTAATTATTATTGTTATTTTTCTTCCGATTGCACGAAACCATTGGCATCGCTTAATAAATTTTTTTACAGTTAGAACTATTAAAACGTGGTTATTACTTTTTGTTTATCGTCCGATCTGGATATCGATTGTTTTCCAGGTTTTCTGTGACGCGTGATCTCCGTGATGGGTTAACTCGGAGCGCTAGTCCGGGTCGGATCAACTCGGATCGACTCGGACCAACTCGGATCAAATAAAAAAATAACAAAAAAAAATAAAATTGGCCTCGGATCAACTCGGAGCAATCAAAAACATTCAATTAAATCAGCAAAACTGAAAGTTTAACCCATTTGGAATGTAAAAAAGGCCAGATCATGCGTTTTTTCTCCGTGGCTTTCAGGCGCCATTTTTTTTTACTAGCGCCAGTTCCTCTGGAATCATGTTATAAACTTGTGGTTCGGATATGGATGACCTCGAGGAAGGTAAAATCTCGACCATCTTTCTCAATGAATTTGCTTCATTCCAAGAAAATGATAGTTTCAGTCGCCTAGAATATATATTTGCTTATTTTTTTTATTTTATTGCAGCTTTTTGTCTCAAGCAAAGAAGTTGAGATGAGCGTGATCATAAGTTATGCGCATAATTTTTGATTAATAAGTGTACTGAATTATTTATTAGAAAAGCATCAAAAGCCTGGTCAGTTAATCGCATTTAGGTGGTTAGCGAAGAGTGTTTGCTTGTTTGTTCCTGTTTGTTTGTTTTTTTCTGCAGGACTTCTGAAACTTAATTTTAATGATAGACTAGTGAGCAGCACACATACATTTCTAGTGAACATTTTCGACTTGGAAGGAGGAGAACTATGCTCGCCCGGGACAAAGGAAATTTCCATGCCCTAGGCAAGAATCGAACTCACGACCCTGCTAGCTGTAGCTAGTATTCGGAGGGTCGTGAGTTCAATTCTCGCCGGGGGTACGAAAATTTTCGTTGTCCCGGGCGAGCATCCATCCTCCTTCCAAGTTGAAAATGTTCACTGGAAGTGTATGTGTGCTGCTCACTAGCGTATCATTAAAATTAATAAAAATAAAAATAAAATTAATTTACACAACCACGAGTTGGTGAGAAAAAAACAAAATGGCGGGTGAAAGTTAATTGATACCGACTGATTTGATTTTTCTTTTTAAAATCCGATTTGTTTTGTTTTTTTTTTATGATCCGAGTTAATCCGAGTCCAATTTTATTTTTTTTTTATTTTTTTATTCGATCCGAGTTGGTCCGAGTCGATCCGAGTTGATCCGACCCGGACTGGCGGTCCGAGTTGATCCGGTCCGACTTATGTACCTGCCTTCTCAAAATATTATTATTAAAGGGTGATGCGTAAATAGTAGTGAGCCGATTTAAGGCCATTTTTTTTCCGAGCTCAAGTTAAAAGGGCTACGTTTTGTAGCTAGAAGACCCTGGCCAAATTGATGATAATTGATGATACTGTTGTCTCTTACACATCTCAGGCCGAGATAAGCGTTTTGAGCTGTTTCCAAGTGACTTTGAGAGGGGTCTTTGTATTCTACTCGACGAGGGGTTTTGGAGAAAACGGGAGACCCTGGTCAGTCTGCGAGAAGGGAGTCGCGAGAAGTCAAAGCAGTCAAGTTTAATTCGTAAGGAAACGCAAGGTTTTATTCACTGATTCAGTTCGATGGTTCGGTTAATTCACAGCTTTGATCAAAACATTCTCAGTTTCGAGAATATTTCAGATATTTCTGATTCTAAACCATAAGCAAAGATTTGATTAGAAACTGGATTTTTTCTTTATTTACGTACAGTTCATTTTATTAGCCGGAAGGTAAGCCTTAGAAATTAAAAAGTTTGACTCAAAACCGCTAACCAGAGCGCCTCGATACATGTTGATTAAATCTCTCTCTCTAGCCTTCGGCTAGACCTATCTCCATGATCTTTCACAAATGTTTTTAAAAAGATTTAAACTCAGCTATGAGGCGAAATTGCACGTCAAAAGCGCCTCGGCGAAACGTCAAGACCATCCATTTTTTACCGTTCTTCCAACGATAAAAATATTTCGATAACGCTCTTAGGCCCGTTTCGAACGTCGTGCTACTGCCGTGCCGAACTCAGTTGATCGAATTAAATTCGACTTTAGTACGGCAGTAGCACGACGTTTAATTTGAAATCAAGTCGAGCTACTGCCGTGTAGCACGACAAGACCGCCGTGCCGAACTCAATTCATAAATTATAAATACATTAGAATATATTTAAAAGTTTGCTAAGCCGTTTCTTTATTTTTGTGTTTTGTTTTTGGCAACAGCCGTTCCATTCGACTGTCATTGTGTGAATTAAATTCGACGTCTGAAACCAAGTCGTGCTAATGTCGTGCTTCAGTCGAGCTACAGTCGAGCCCGCTTAGCACGGCAGTAGCGCGACGTTTGAAACAGGCCTTGCAGATTTCGCTTAAACGTCACGAACGTCGAGGCAGCTATTGGAGGAAAAAGCTCCCGGCCCGCGAACGATTTTGGGGAAAACAGTTCCAAGTGCCAAGAAATACAGAGTGCTGCAAGTAAAATATTTAACGGCGTCATTTCGTTGCTGTGGCAACTCCGATGTTATTGCACCTGATCATGACAAATTTTCATCTTTATCTAATTTTTCTAAATCTTTGTTTATGGTGACGTAGTTTATGCTCAAACTTGGGAGGTATTGACCCTGAAAAACTGTATCGAACCACCTTAAGTCATATTGCCAACTGGGCTCGCCGTCAATATCCAACGGTTATAATAACAGGCGACGTAAACCTGAGCAGGATGGAGCCCAGCAGCCCGAAGGAAAGCTTCTTCTTGATCTTGAGGTGGATCAGGGCCTTGAATGTACGATAACCAAACGCACACCGTAATTTTTAGGGAGTTATTATAACTCCAAAAATAAAGTAAAATTTTTAGGTACAGGATAAACCCTTTTGGGGGGTTATTTTAACTCCTAATTTAACTCCGAATTTGGGGTCATTTTTACTCCTGAAAAAGAGTCTTTTTTACTCCCAGTCTGGAGTTAAAATAGCTCCGAAATGAGGTTACTTTTACTCGTTAGATGGGTTGTTCTTACTCTTTTTGGAGTTAATTTAACTCTGAAAGTGGACTAAAAATTTTAGGTACAGGATAACTCCTTTTGGGGGGTTATTGTAACTCCTCAATATCTGTGGTCACTTTTACTCCTGAAAAAGAGTTCTTTAAACTCCTTTTTGGAGTTAAAATAACTCCCCAAAAAATAACTCTAGTGCAAGGAGTTAAATTAGCCCCATTAGAGGAGTTATTATAACTCCTTGAAAATTACTGTGCACTCGGATACAAATGAGAGGCTCTCTTGTCACTAAGAGCTTGATCGATGTTATTCTCACTAACCATCCTGAACCATTTGAGAACATGTGGGGTCTATGATCCTGAGCTCAGTGACCACGGACTTGTTTACGAATTCCTGAATGAGACAGCAAAACACCAGAAAGATTGTACCATTCACTTTTGTGCCGGAATATTCCCAAAAACGAAAAACACATCCCAAAATCCAAAAGCACTTCCCAGAATCTAAAACACTTCCCAAAATCTAATACTTCCCAGAATCCAAAGGTGTTTTGGATTCTGGGAAGTGTTTAGGATTTTAAGAAGTGTTTTTAGATTCTGGGAAGTGTTTTGTCCCTAGGAGCCACGGTAATAATCGACCATCAATTTTCTTTTTACATTCAAGAATTCG